CTCCTGTGGTAGTAACACCCAGTGCAATCCCGTCCCAAACAGGAAGAAAGCTCTCTCTAGGGATGTGGGATGTTGCTGCTGGGATACTGTTGGTCATTGCACCCCTCCTTGGAAGACACAGCTTCTGAGAGTGGGAGACATCCCTGACAGCCACGGCTGATATCACAGCGATACAGAATCACAGAGTACTTGAGGCCGTGAGCACTTCAGGGTCCTTCCACCTCCCCCCTGTCCCAGCAGGGCCACCCAGAGCAGGATGCCCAATAGTCAGGTGGGATTGGAGAACCCACAGTCTCTGGATCTGTGTACACAGCTCCTGCTGTTTTGCTGCACATCCTTCAGCCACATTCCCAAGCACCAAAAAAAGAAACTCTAACCCATTTCCATGCTACCTGGGGGAGGTTCCCTCTTACAACCCTTCCCTCCTCAGCAGGTGGCTCTTCTTAGTGGGGAGCCTGGCCCTGTGCTCATGCAGCACAGCTGAGTCCTCTGGCTTTGGAGCACAGGGGGCTTCTTGCAGCCACATTAGGATGGATTCTGTCTCTGTCCCCTGCATCACTGAGCTGGAAAGGAGATGCAGCATTCCCCCTGTGGGCTCAGACTGCTCAAGTACAGCATCTGTTGGCATTCACTGTGGATCAGGGGAAGTGGGAATCCTGTGGCAGCTGCCCCCACCATGCTGCCCAGGGGAGCAGCGGTGCCTGTGGGACACTGTGACAGAGCTGCCTGCACCTCAGAGCTGTGGCCAGGTATCTTCTCTCTTCTTAGGTCCGGTTTGGGCTGAGGCTCAGAACACAAACTTACCAGCCTTACGCAGCTGCAGAAAGGGACAAATGCCACCTGCAGAACTTGCAGCAGCTCCTGCGCAGGGCCTGGGCCAAGCAAGGATGGGAGCAGCAGTGGAGGGGTAGAAGAAAACGTGCAGCAATGAGCAGTGCTGTGTTACGTAAATGTGTGCACGTGTGGGGTGTGAGCGCTGCCACTGTAACCCTGCGGCGCAGCCCCCTGCTCTGGAACACACACAGCAGCAGTGCTGGGAGCCACTGGAAGGTATTGAAATGCATTTTACAGCGTCGGAGAACCCCCTTTTTTCACCTGGCATTTCCAGCTGATGCTGCAGTTTGGTGAGTGCCATCAGTTCATTGCATTCTCATCCCATCTCCCCACCTCCACCACTGCCATGGGCACGCACAGCACTGCTGCTGTGGCTGCACTTTGCTCAGGGACTGCTGGCAGCCAACTGGAGCTTCCAGCTGCTTGAAAGTTATTTGTTTTTTGCCTTTTTATTGTTGACAGTCTGAGAACCGTTACACAGTGCAACCCTACACACACTGATGTCAATGGAACTAAAAATGCTGCAGAGGGGCAGCACTTACTTTGGTGCCGATGGAAGGGACAGACTCAGTGCTTCACCAGGAGCACTGAGAGCTGCAGAGCAGCACGGTGCCCCTCACACAGTGCAGAGCTGAGCTCCCTGTGAGCATTGCAAGGCATTTCCTCCCTGCTGCACAGCACCAAGAAAAACACTGCAGCACTCCAGTGAATGCAGTGCATGGCACTGCCTGTGCAGCACAATGTGGCTCCAGCACATCCCAGCAGAAGAGCCGCTGGGGCAGGGGGTGCTCCACGAGTCAGAGCTGCAGGTGCTGCACCATTCAGGCTGGAGGGGGAGGAGAGCCCCAAAAATACAGGCAGGAAGGACAGCCCTGCTGTGATGGAGCTGTGTGGACAGGAGGACACCTGTGGGGGTCTCTGCTCCAGCACTGCTCGAAGCTGTCTGTCTGGGGAGGATGCTGAGGAACGAGTCCAGCCGACCCCACGCATCTCCAAGGGTGCCCATCCCACAACGTCATTGGGAACCCATCCCAGGGTCCGAAAGCCTTCCTGGGAATTTGTTTTCCATCTGTCTAGTCGGAATTTCCCATGTATCAGCTCGCGCGTGGTGCCCTGGTGTAGCTGTGGGGAGGAAGAGACTCTCAAGCGGGCACCCAAACACACACACAGGGTATAAGGAGATACAGACGTGGGTGTACAGACACAGTGTATACACCAGCATGCACATATGTATACATGCATGTATTTATATATATATACACAAGACTTTTTTTGCCCTCAGTTGTCAGTTTCATCTTTTACCAGGGAATTCTTTCTGCGCAGACCCGCTCACTCATTTATTTGGAAAACGATTCTTGAAGAATTAGGAAAAAGGCAATGATTGCATTAGATGGGGTGCTTATTGGCCTCCTGTCAGGACAGGGTTTTCAGTACAACGCTCGTGGATCACAGCACACTCCACCAGTGGGGCTGCACGGAGAGCTGCTGGCACACAGCGCACTGCTGTGCCCTGCCTGGGCTCTGCAGGAGCCGTGCAGTGGAGCTGCTGGAGGCTCCCAGCAGGGAATGCTGTGCTGTGATTTGCAGAGCTCTGCAGTGGTGGTTGGTGCAGGTTCTGACCCCTTGAGGTGAATCACACTGTGAGGTGAGCGTCACCACTGCAAGAGCCCTGCTATGCAGAAAGCCTCTACCCCCATGGGGAGAAGGGCTCTGGCTGCACATGGGCAGGACAGGAACATAGAGTAGAATCCATAGAATCATAGGATGGCCTGGGTTGAAAAGGACCTCAGAGATCATCTAGTTTCAACCTCCCTGCTGTGGGAAGGGTCACCAACCACCAGACCAGGCTGCCCCGAGCCACGTCCAGCCTTCTCCCGCTGGACTGGCACATAGGAAGGGTCAGGAGCTCTGACCACCTGCAGTGCCTCCACAGCCACAACCACAGCACCAGCACAGCTCCAAATGCAGGCGTAGGGAGGGTTGGTAGCAGGCTTGGCCGCGATGACCTCAGCAGCAGAACACCAAGGCTGCCCATAGCCTCAGCTCCTCCACCTGGTGCACAGCCTCACCCCCAGCCCCATGCTGCCCACAGCTCCAGCTCCACCATCCCTCAGTGCTGCCCCTCTGTACCCGTAGTCACAGTCCCACGTTCCCCACCTTGGAGCTCCATGCAGACCCTGCATTGCACAGCTCTACTCAGCTGTCCCTCATGCTGGTTGCATGCTTTGCATTGCTCTGCCTTCCCTGCACCACGCCTCCTCCCCCCCAGTTCATTCAGGCACTGCTGGGAGGGCACAGGACCCACCAAGGATCTGCTCAGCCCCCAGCCCCGTATCAGAGGCACCGATGTGCTCTGGGCCCTTCCCAGATGCTTACATGTTGTGCTGGTCCTTGTGGTGTGCATCTGTACAGAGCAGTTTGTTGACACCTGCAGGACTGCTGGGGCAAACCTCCTGGAGAAGGGCTGCATTGGGTGTGTGCTGGCACTGCAGCTATCTGTCCTGCACAGCTCAGTGCCTTACAGAGATCCCAAGGGTGCTCCTAGTGCCCTGGGGCAGACTGAGATGTGCTCCTACAGCCCAGCAGTGCAGCCTGAATGGTACCTCACCACAGTCAGTGCAGTGCAGCTGCTCTGCAGCTGTTTGGTGTCAGTAGTAGGGATGTAGGGCACCTGTGTTTTCTGCTGGGGCAGCTGTGCCACTCCCCAGAACTCCATCTCCAGCCCCCACGCATCCCGAAGCATCACCAAGCTGCAGGGCAGGATGCTACTGGAGTGCCTGCAGAAGCCGTGGGGCACAGCCCCGTTGTGAAACAGCCCTGTCACCCTGCCCTCCCGAGCTCTGACAACTGCCACGCTGCACAGCTGGGCACACGGGCACCCGGGAGCTCTGCAGTGACAGCTGCATGGGGACAGCTCATAGGATCTGCGTTCAGGACGGGACAGCATTGCAGGGCGGCAGCAGGCGGGTGGCAATGGGGCATCTCCTGCCTCCATAAAGGGCTGTGCCTCCCTGCTCCAGACCACAGGCAGCTTCAGCTGCAGGTCCCCTGCTGCTGCCCCGCAGTGCTCACTGCCCACCGCGGCCAAACTGCCCACACGAGATGGGAAAAGGGCTTCTGTCCCTTGTCTGGGCTCTGCCACACCACATCACTGCCGGCACGGGGCAGCCGCCGGCTCCCAGGATGAGGGCAGCAGCAGGGAGTCGGGGTGGCAGTGCCACCGCCAGCGGGACACCGGCTTGGGCGTCAGTGCCACGGGAGCCGGCCGCAGTGCCGCGGCTGCTCGGGGCGCTGCTCAGGGCTGCATCCTCACATGGCCCGCGGGCACGGGCGCAGCGCTGACCCCGGGGCCAACGCTGGGGGCTGAACGTGGGGCCGTGCCCAAGGCTGGGGCCGTGCCAGCAGAGCCCTGCGTCGGGGGCACGGCAGGACCGGGGCAGGGCGGGATGGGAAGGGAGGTGCCGGGGCTGGGCCGGGCGGGATCCCGCACGGGAGATGATGTATGGGCAGATGTATCAGATCGCACAAGATAAACAAGCAGTGAATTTCATCAGGGCCCATCATGGCTTTAATTTGGCTGCCTAATGAGTCAGATCCAGCCGCGCAGATAAAAGTTGTCAGAGCCGCAGCCCTAATGAATTTCTTGCCACTTGTAATCAAGGCAGCTTGTCTGAGGGGGATGATTAATGGGCCCCAGAGGAGCTGCCGTCCCTCGGCTTCCATTCCCACTAATGCAGTCGCCAGGAAATTAACCAAACCCAGCACCGGGCCGGGGCCGGGGAGCGCGTGCGGCTGTGCGGGGGCAGCGGCGGGGCCGGGCTTGGAGCGGCAGAGCGCGGGGCAGCGCAGGAGGGGCAGCACGGGGACACGGGCGCACGTGGAAACGTTCCGGCACCGGAGGAAGGGAACGTTCCTCACCCGCAGCCTCCAGAGGGGCAGCCCCACCGCGAGAGGGGAGAAGTGGGGCTGGGAGGGGGCTGCAGTGGGGTGCCTGCAGCAGGGGGAGGCGTTCCCTTGGTATGGCACAGGACTGGGGGGGCACACAATCCTGCACCCCACGCCAGTGCCGTGGCACAGCTCCCCGGGCGAAGGTCTGCCTGTGTGCCAAGAGCACAGCAGAGCCCTCAGTGCGGCGCGGAGCCCCAGGGCAGCACACGGAGCCACGCTGGCAGGAAGTGGGTGCTTTATTGGCCTTCATCTCCTTGGCTGCAGGTAACACACACAGGGCAATTCATGGCAAAGAAACACTATATACAGAGTGTCCATATAAATATTTCCAATGTACACTTTATACACAAGTGATGGAGACGTTCCAAGTCAGCGCTCGAAGCCTCGGGGTCCCGGTGCTCAGCTGCAGGACGGCCCCAAGCAGAGCGGGCACTCTGCTCCTCCCTCCTGCTCGGCCACAGGGCGCAGTGGGACCTGCAGGGTGGAGGCACTGCGCATGGCTGTGGGGCTTCAACCTGATGGGACAGTGACTCTACACAGACAGACAGACACAGATGGGCCCCAGAGCGTCCTCTGCCCCTCTGGTAAGCAGTGGGGTGGAGGGGTCCATCCAGGGGCTGCAGGGAAGGCCATTCCCTTGGCATCAGTGTGGGCAGCACCAGTGAGGGGACCCCCATACTGGCCAGAAGCAGAGAGGGCCAGAGGGCTGCGGTGAAGAAGCGTTCATCTCCCACTGCCCCCCTGCACTGGGGCACCTCATGGCCAAACGGAGGACAGAGGGACAGGCGCAGCACTGGTCCTCCCCATACCTCTGCACAGGGGTGGGCAGCACCCCGGACCACCTTCAGCCCTGCACTACCTACACGACAGTGTGATGGGGGCACACAGGAATTGTCTCTCCTTCCCCTGTACCGGTCATGAAATGGGGGTACCGAGTCCCCATCCAGAGCATCCTCTGCACACAGGCAGCGCTGGGCCCCTTCCAGCCGCAGAGGTCCCAGGACCTGGGCACAGCACAGATGGAGCGGGGGTCCGTAGAGGGGAGCACGCAGGGAACAGCCCTGAGCCCCGCTGCGAGGAGCTACACGGCGCTGGGGCTGGTGCTGAGCTCGGGCGGCACGGCAGCACAGGTGTTGTTGTTGGCGTTGGCGTTACGGCGGGGCAGGCTGGGGGTCAGCGTGGCACCATCGCCGGGACAGCCGTGCTGCAGTAGGATGTCGATGCACTCCTGGCTGCCCGCACGCCGTGCGTAGGCCAGCGGGGTCAGACCCCGGGCATCCCGACTCTTCACATCCACCCCGTACTGCGCGGGAGAGAAAGCAGCCGTCAGTGGCACCCGTGGCACATGGCCGGCTCCGTGGCACCAGGGGGGAGATGAGCAGCGCCCAGGGCACTACTGCCAGGCTGGGGGAACCCAGGGGAGCAGGTGCTGAATCACAGCCTTACCCAGATGAGCAGCTGCGTGAAGACAACGTTGGCCATGGCGCAGGACAGGTGCAGCGCCGTGCGCCCATCGCCGTCCCCATAGGTCTCGTTGACCTCCTCCTTGGTGCCGTGTGCCAGCAGTGTCACCACCAGGCGCAGGTCGTCCTCCACCACCGCCCGCAGCAGCTGCTGCCCCAGTGGGATGTCCGACTGCGGCAGCGGTGCCAGGAACAGCTTCTGCTCATACTTAGCGCGGATCCAGCGCTCCTTCTCCTCCCTGCGGGTGGAACAGCGTCACACGGGTGCCAACGCGGCTGGGCTGCGCCATGGGGCGGGCGCACCAGCACCGCCGTTCGAGCATCCCGTGCGTCAGGAGCAGACACCGCGGCGCCGTGCCACGTGCACGGCCGTCAGCGGGGCTCTGCGCTCATCGCCTCGCTCCCGACACGCACCTGTCTGTACCGACCTACGGCTCCGCACCTCCAGGCGGCGGGCCGCGTGCTCACGCCGAGCTACAGCCCCCATCCTGCACGGCGATCCTTCGGGCCCCTCCGCTGCGGAGCGCTGCCCCGCGCTCCCCTGCCCGCCCGCACCGCGCCAGCCCAGGGACGGCCAGCCCCGCGCCGCACCCCGCCGGCAGCAGGAGGCTCGGTGCCGCGCAGCGTTATCGGCAGCGTTATCGCTGCTGCCGTCTCGCCTGCAGCCAACAAAGGCTGTGGCCGCGTCCGTCCCGCCTGGGGCTGCGGGGCCGCCGGATCGATGCGCGCCGTGCCGCCGCTATCTGCTGCCATTCTATCCATCTGCATCTGGCGGGCGGCCATCAATGCCCCGCGCTGCGCATGCTCACTGCAGCCGCCCCCTGACCCGCTCTTATCCGCTGATAAGGGCAGAATGGGCTCTTGTTGGGATGAGTGACAGCGGAGGCGCTCCGATAGGGACAGACAAGGGCCTGAAAGGGACGCACCCCTGAGACCCGCAGGCGCTGCCAAGTGTCTGTTAACCCCTTCTGCCCCGCAGCCAGCTGGGCTCCAGCAGCCAGCGTGAGGCCATGAGCCCTGCTGGGTCCTGATGGGTGGGACAGCCCTGCTGGGAAGGAGCAGCCCTTTGTTTCCTAAACGGACACTAAGAACGGGACAGACTTCAGCAGGGTCTGCTGTGACAGAATCACAGAACAGCCGGGGTTGGAAGGGACCTCAAGGATCACGAAGCTCCAACCCCCCACCAATGCAGGGCCACCAACCTCCCCATTGCACAGCAGCCCAGGCTGCCCAGGGCCCCATCCAACCTGGCCTCCAACACCTCCAGGGATGGACGGGGCATCACAGCCTCTCTGGGCAGCTGTTCCAGCCCCTCACCGCTCTCACAGCACACAACTTCCCCTGACATCCAACCTCCAGCTGCCCTCCCTCAGCTCCAAACCATTTCCCCTCGTCCTGCTGCCATCTCCCCTTTCAGAGTTGAGTGACAGGACAAGGGGAAATGGTTTCAAACAAAAGGAGGGGAGATGTAGACTGGAAATAAGGAAGAAGTTGTTTCCAATGAGGCGTTGGCATGGTTTGCCCAGAGATGTGGTGGGTGCCCCGCTCCTGGAAACGCTGTGGGTCAGAGGACAGGGCTCTGAGCACCTGATGGAGCTGCGGGTGTCCCTGTGCACTGCGGGGAGCTGGGCTACACGGCCTTTAAAGGTCCCTTCAACTCCAACCATTGCATGATTGTGTTCTGTGAGCACTGTGTCCAGTTCTGGAGCCCCCAACACAAGAAGGACATGGAGCTGTTGGAGCAGGTCCAGAGGAGGTCATGGAGATGATCAGAGGGAGCAGCTCCCCTACAAGGACAGGCTAAAAGAGCCGGGTCTCTTCAGCCTGGAGAAGAGAAGACTCTGAGGAGACCTTACAGCAGCCCTGCAGTACCTGCAGGGGCCTACAGGAAAGGGACATTTTATATGGGCAGGTAGTGGCAGGACCAGGGGAAATGTCCTAAACTGGAAGAGGGTAGATTTAGACTAGCTATTAGGAGAAATTCAGTACTGTGAGGGTGGTGAGACACTGGCACAGGTTGCCCAGTGAGGTTGTGGATGCCCCTCCCTGGAAGCAGTCAAGGCCAGGACGGATAGAGCTTCAAGCAATCTGGTCTAGCAGGAGGTGTCCCTGCCCATAGCAGGGGGTTGGGACTAGATGACCTTGAAGGTCCCTTCCAACCCAAATCATTCCATGATTCTATGATTCTGTGATGCTGTGACATCCCTAGAGCAGGCAGACCCTGGCACAGCTGCGGCTCTCTGCCCATCCTCCGCTGATGGCTCCCAACCTCCCCACTGGACGTCGCGGTGCGGCTGTGAGCGCTGTCCCTGCAGAGCCCGTCCCCTTACCGGCTGCTCTCGGGGGTGGGTTTGGGGCACCCCTCCACAGCACCCTCCCAGACGGCGTTGGCCAACGCGTTGCCGATGGCGGCCATGAGGGTGAGCAGCTCGCCAGGCCAGTCGTCCAAGTCCAGCGAGCGCACGCGGGAGAGGTGCGTGCCCAGGTTGCGGTGGATCCCAGAGCACTCGATGCACATCAGGGCACCCAGGTTCAGGCTCGCCCAGTCAGGATCTGCAGGAGGTGACATCAGAGGGGCACAGCCAGCACGGGCACATCAGCCTGTTCCCCTCCCGTCACCCCACAGACCATCCCAGGCATCCCAGTGGCACAGAAGCAAGGACCTCCAGGACCAGCAGGGCATAGGGGTCAATCCCGCAAGGCCCTTCCCTCCCCTAACGACTGGCTTCCCAAGGAGGGGACAGAGCAGCCCCGCAGCACAAATCCCCCCGTGGTCAAGGAGGTGGTGGCGTGCTGCCCCTGCCCACCCCTCCCGTCCCCCAGCACGGTGTTCCTTACTGGGCGCATCGCAGTCCACGCAGAAGCTGTTACCCCGCGCAGTGCGCACTGCCTGCATGGCCTGCGCATCTCCCTGGCTGCCCAGCCGTGCCTGCAACAACACCAGCAATACAATAGCAATCTCAGGTGGTCCCACAGCATCCTCTGGGCCACCACCCCCAGGGTCACCGCCCCGGAGCCATTGGGAGCCCCAGTGCCGTGCTGCAGGGGTGAACAGTGCAGGGTTCCTGAACATCAGACAGATGTGGAGGAAGCTGAGGGGCAGGGCTGGGGGCCAGAAGGAATAGGGCTCCCCGAGGGGTGGAGCAAGGTGAGGGGGCTCTGTGGGGCACAGCGAGCTGGGGAACGAACCCAGAGAGGTGATGGGAACGCAGGGAAGGAGTGCCACAAGGACTGGGAGCAGAGGGCTGAGGATGCATTCAGCCCAGGGCAGGTGTGGATGCATCAAAGAGGTGCCAAAGAGGAGGGATGAGGCAGCATGCAGCTGCCCTTACCTTGTTCTTGCTGCTCTCACAGCCCTGCAGGCTGGCCAGGATCTGGCTCTCGATGGCCTGCACCCAGAGCTCCCGCTCCTCTGACGTTGAGGCCTCAAAGAGCCACGTCTGGCCCGTCAGGGACACGATGATGAACTCAAAGGGTTCGTCTGGCTCTGCAAAACAAAGGTGGTGGCACTGTCAGGGCTGTGCCTTGTGGGGTGCAGGCATGGCAGGGACAGCAGTGTCCCCAGGGGAGGCATGGGGACGACATACAGGGAGGACCCAGGGATCCAAGCCAGCCCAGTGCTGCTGCTACCCAGCTCCATCTGGGCACACAGCCTCTGCCATGCACCAGCAGCTGCAGCCATGCTCCCTATTGCCCTGGGCTGCGAATGCTGTCGGTCTGTGAGCTATTGGAGCCCTGCTCTCCGTGCCTCACATCTCCCAGTCCCTGGAGAAAGCTGTTGCCAATGGTAGCAGCCCCTCTGAGGACCTGCAGCCCCCACCAGCTCCCACCAGCCCATCAATCCCCATGGGCTGCCCTACACAGCAGTGTCTGCGCCCCGCAGCAGTCCCAAAAGTGGCACCCAAAGCCTTTCTCTTGCCGTGAAACACACGAGATCCAATTCCTGACTTCATGTCTTTGGAGAGGTATTTTTGGGGAGCCCCACAGCTGCACACACACCTGGAGGTCGGATACGGCCATCCCTCTGGGTGCAGGATGGGCTCAGGGGTGGTGCGGAGCATCCCTGCATCGAGCTGCAGCAGGGGGATGCAGAGCACCTGGCTGAATATCTCGGTGCCCTGCACATAAGGAAAAGGCCCCACAACAACCAAACGCTGGCCCCAAAACGTGGCCACTGCTGGGCTCTCTGCACTGCCGTCCCAAGCAGGCAGGGCTCAGCACCACCCCGCCGTGCGCCCACCTTTTATTGCCAACTCCGGTAGTTAGTGCAGTAAATGACTTAACTAAGCGGGGCCTGAATGGAATGACTAATAAACGTTATGTCACAGCACACGCTTCAGCTCATAGCAAAATGATTTGTAATTACCTAATTAGCGTTATGCAAATAACACCCTCATCTCCATAATGTGCCTTCCCAGCTCTCTATTAAAAGCAGAGTCAACCGCATGGCTCCGGAGGCAGCGCGGGGCCAAGAGCGCGGTTTGGGGCCGCGCCTGGGGGTGAGCAGGTCCTGCCCCACAGCTGGGGGAGGCAGGGAGGGCAGCGGGAGGTTGGGAGCTGCTGGCCAGAGCCCACAGACCCACTGTAGGGACAGCGAGGTGCTGGAGAGCTTTGTGGGCTGGACGTGCTGTGCCCACACACGTGCCCCACTGGTCTGCTGCCGAGGGAAGGCTCCGTGGGGAGGGACAGCTGTGTCCCCTTGCAGGCCCACGCTTTCTTTGGAGGACCACCACTCACAGCTCTGCGCCTCCCTCTGCACAGCTCAGCTCTCGCTCTGAACAACGTGAAGGTAAACGTCATCCCTGTGCCATGGCGCAGTGCCATGCTCCTCACACAAGCTCAGGGTCCCACGCCTCTTCTGAGAGTAAAACACCCAGAGACACCCAGCTCCGTGCTGCACCCTGCACAGAGCTCAGCAGCACCTGTTGGGGTTGGGAGCACGGACGGGGTCAGGAATGCGGGGCCCGGTCCCACATCAACAGACATTGGGAGGATGGAGCAGCCCCAGGACGAGGGTCCCAGGTGCAGTGCCAGCTGCCTGCCCTTACCATGGATGGGGATGCTGCTCCATGCCCTGCACCCTGCACTCAGCAGGGGAAAGCCTCTAGGGAAAGCTGCCAGCATCGCCCCTCTCCTGCAGAGACGGGAGGTGTGGGGCAGCACGGGAGGAGGCAGCGGGTGCCAGCAGTCTCATTGCTGGGCTCGTCCCCTCAGTGCTGCCCTTTACCTAATGAAATGATGCTTTGCACTGCTCCGGCCCTACCTCCAGCTCTCAGACAGTGCACAGCACGAAACCCTGCAGTCAGTTTGCCTCTCACCCTGAGAGATTCACTGTGCACGCCCAGGGATGGCCAACACCAGCTCAAAAACAGCCCCGTTCCTTCCTCTCACCGCTCAGTACCTCTGCACTGAGCACCACTGCAGCCCAAACCCCCTGCACCAGCACGTGCCTGCCCTGCAGTGCCCGCCCGCCTCTGGGGCTGCTCTGAGCTCAGGGTCCCAAGCTCAGTGTTCTCCAGGACAGACAGGTGACACCCCTGTGGCTCTGGGGACGTTCTCACCCCGAGGACATTCTGCAGCCCCACAGCCCTGCCCCAGCACCGCAGCCTCCCCCTGTGCCGGACCTCAGTTCTGCCCTCCTTTGTGCCGCACGGATTCCAGCCCAGCGCTGAACAAAGGGCCGCTGCTCCCACAGCCCGCCAAGAGCGAACAAAGGGCGGCTGCTCTGCTTCCATGCCGGGCTCCTTTCTGCAAGGAAAAGCACCACTGCGCCCTGCAGCAACTCGGGGCAGCGCTGCGGGATGGAGCTCCTGAGGGGCTTGGGAAGGCTGCAGGATGGCAGTGGGATGGCAGCAGGGAGGTGTGGGATGGCAGCGGGATGGCAGTGATGGCTGTGGGTGACAGGGAGGGCTGTCCCAGGGCTGCTGCAGCACCCATCTCCCATCATCTCCCCTCTCCCGGCCCACGGGGTGCTGGTGGGAGTCCATTACGCAGCTCCATTAGAATTAGTGGGCAGTGGAAATGAAGGAGCTCGCCTCTCTCCCTCTTGATGATTTTTTGATGATGTTTTAAAGACTGAGCTCTGTGAAGAGCTGCTGAGCGGAGCTCGGCACGATGCAGCTCTGCTAATGGGCGTTAACCCCCCGACCCTGCTCCAACGCCGGCAATGAGTGCTCCAAATGAGAGCAAAATTAACGAGGGCACCGCACAGTGCCAGGACGGGGCAGGGCACGCAGCACTCGGACACGGGAAGTGGCCACATCACCACTCTGAGCACGCTGAGGGCTCCTGCGAGCAATTGGCCCTCGGGGACTTATCATCCCCAGCCCCACCATACACACAGCCCTGGAAGGAAACAGCTGCCCGCAGAGCCACAGAGCAGAGCTGCCCAGAGTAAAGCAGTCCAGCAGAGCATGGGAACGGCACTGCCACCTTGCAGCAGGGACACCTGAGGCAGAAGCAGCACAGGGAGAAAAAAGGGGAGCAGCGGCATCCCAGAGCTCATGCCAAGGCCTGTTTGCTCAGCTCTCAGCCGGGGATCTGAGCAGAACCGGTACCTTCGGGTGGCTTCAGCACCCAGTGGAGCGCACCGAGCCGTCCTGCTGGGGAGGGCTCACACCACCGCCGCGACGGCGCAACAGCAGAGCGCAGCAGAGCCCTGCAGGACCCCCATGTCCTGCACTCCCTGCTGCAGGACTGCTCCCCTGGGCTGTGCCCCCCAGGGGGTCCCCGGCCCACAGCTCTGCTGCTGAGCTCCCGCAGTGCCCAGGAGCGAGCAGCCGGGTCCCCAGCCCCGGGATGCTTGTTTGCAAGCTGCCACTGTACCACATCATTATGAGGTGTTTGGGATATCAACAAATTAGCAGGCGTCTGGGAAGAGAAGGATGCAGCACCATTCGTAAATGTCAGCTCGCTGCCTCCTCATTTTGCAGATCATTAAACCCAATATTCCTAACCTGTATTAGTGCAACGGGGACGGGCCCCCTCCACAGTGACGAGCCGCCAGGAGAGCTGCAGAACATTGCTATGGAGACCCTGCAGCGCTCCCGGCCCTGAGCCACAGTCCTCCATGGCCCCACGCTGAGCCGGCACCTTCTGCAGTGCCCTGCCCTGCCATGCCCAAGGGCTGTGTGGGGCTGTGGGCAGTGGGGCTGGGCAGTGACATCCACAGAGATGTGCAAACTCAGCTGGGTTAAGAGCATCCATCCTGGGGCACCAAATGCCTGTGCACACGTGTAAGCGTGCATAGTGGGGAGGGACAACGAAGGCAGCTGAGCAGGCGCAGCCAGGACTGGGCGACGCTCCTGAGAGATGCAGGGAAGGGCACTGAGGTCCCCATGGACTGGGGCTGTCAATCTGTGTGCATGTGCAAGGCATGCAGGCAGCACGCAGGGCTGAGGGGCACCGACAGGGCGATGCCATGCACACACTGTGCTGCGGGGGCAGGCGGGGGCTGAGCATCGCACTGAGATCCGGCAGTGCAGTGTGCATGGCTCAGCCCTGTGCTCACAGCTCAGCCCTGTGCTCAAAGCTCAGCCCCGTGCTCAAATCTCAGCCCTGTGCTCAAATCTCAGCCCTGTGCTCAAAGCTCAGCCCTGTGCTCACAGCTCAGCCCTGTGCTCAAAGCTCAGCCCCGTGCTCACAGCTCAGCCCTGTGCTCACAGCTCAGCCCCGTGCTCACAGCTCAGCCCCGTGCTCACAGCTCAGCCCCGTGCTCACAGCTCAGCCCCGTGCTCAAAGCTCAGCCCTGTGCTCAAATCTCAGCCCCATGCTCACAGCTCAGCCCCATGCTCACAGCTCAGCCCTGTGCTCAAAGCTCAGCCCCATGCTCAAAGCTCAGCCTCGCGCTTGCAGCTCTCTGCCGTCGGCCCCGACAGCCGCTGACAGTTGGCATTAATCACGCACCGCGCCCCAACACAACTCTTTACTGGCCATCAATTTCCCATGGGTTTTAAAACTAAAAAACAAAGACAAAACCGCGTCGTTTGGCCGCCGCTGAGCAGCACATTAAGGGGCTGTCAGCTTCTCGCCATGCACCCTGCATCACTCTTTAAGCACATGAGAAGTTCATTATCCCCGGAGCTCTGGCAGCCGCGGGGATGCTGGTGCAGGGAGCGTCACGAAGGTGCTGCTCTGACTCTCGGCCCCGCGCCGCCGCCACCAAGCGGAGCCACGGCAGGGCACCGGGGGGCACGGGGCTCGGCTGTGGGGATGGCACTGCTGCCCACGGCACTCTGTGTCCCCGCGGCGCCCGCGGCCCGACGCCAGCACCCGGCAGGGTGCCGTGCAGTGCCACGCCGTCACAGAGCAGCACGGTGCTCCCGCAGCCCGTGCAGCGCTGCGCTGCGCAGTGACAGCCCGGCAGCCCAACAGCACGCCTGCCAGAGTTTGCTGATGCTCCCTAGCAGCCTGACACGGCGCTCTCTTTAACATGCGCCCATGTAAAAAAGCAACAGCTCGTTTGATTTATGATACTTCAGAACAACTAAGATTCAATTGCTCTGCACGTCCCCGGCTCTGATTACCTCCTAAATGAGATAAACCGATGGCAATTTATCCCCAGACCTCACCAACTTTCCCAGGATGCTCACCTGAGCTGCGTGCCTGGTGCACGCAGGTTGGGGCGGCTGCAGCTCCTGGCTCTTCCCTGCTGCTTGCACCCGCCTGCAGGGCCTCACAGTGGGCTCTGCCAGGTCCTGTGCAGTGGCACTGCTTGTGGAACCATCCTCTGCGCTGCCCCCGTGCCCCCTCTTGTCTGCTCCCAGCAGGAGCGGCACTGGGGGACGCCGGCTCAGATGCAGAGCATTGCAGCCCCACTCCGCACAGCAGTTTTACACTTTTGCTGCGTTGGCTGTGTGAAAGCAAAGAGCTCAGGAGATCCAGCTGTGAAAGTACTGCTGGTAAATGTGCAACAGCAGATAATAAAGAAGCAGTGAAGAATCAGCCCTACGGACACTGTCCATGACATCAGCCACAGCCATACCCACTACATGGGGCAGTGCTGAGCCCCAGGTTCACCACCAGAACCGAGTGCAGACACCAGGACATGGGGATGGGATCTCACACGGAGCTCATTCATTACTCTGGTTTGCTCGCTGCTCGTTTGGCTTCTGATGCAGATGACCACACAGTGAGCCGGCCGTGGCTGCAGCCCAGCACACAGACCCCAGCCCTGCCCCAACCACTTCCAGAGCTGCAGGTCCTGGGGATGGGCCCCGTGCTGCAGGGTGGATGCTTCAGCCCCATGCCAGCAGGGTGGGCCGCGATGTCCCTTCCAACCCAGCCATGCTGTGCTTCCATGAAAAGGACTCCTCGGCTCTGCCATTCGTATGGAGCAGAGACGTATGGAGCACTTCCCAGAGCCATCCCCAGGGTGGATAACCGCAAAGGACAGAGCTGGAGCCACGGGTGAGCGCTGCTCACAGCCCCTGGAGCTGCACGCAGCCCGGCTGCAGGAGCAGCATGCTCTGCCTGGGTGCCAGGGCTGCAGGCAGGAGCCACAGCCGTGTGCCGGGTCTGCGCCGTGACAAAGGCAGGTAGCTGATACCTCCCTGGCAAACGACATTCCACATTGATGAATGTGAAGCAGGAGAAAATGACGTTATTCCAACAGCTGCCAGGCTTCTGCATTAATTCCATCGGCCAGAAGCAGGGCTGGGTACCACTGCACAGCACAGCACTGTGGGCAGGGAGCAGGGGAGGGGGCAGCAGGGGGTGCTTGGTGCCCTCATACACTGCATGGCACCGCACCACGTGCTATTCCCACACTCCACCTCTCCAGGACGCTGCCAACAGTGAGAGATGAGGGTGGGCACACGTCTGCAAAGCTTCCTATGAGACGGCAGAGGATGGGACGGGCTGAGATGCACAGACTGGGGTGACAGCAGCTGTGCATCCACTGGGGGCAGAGAGCAGAGAGCTGTGGGACCAATGCATCTCCTGGAGAAGGAGTTCATGTAATTGTGAAGCTCTGAGCAGCTGCTGGTCCACACTGCTGGCTCGTCAAAGCATGCTCATTTTTAATTACTCTCTCCACTAACTGTACTCAATTTTGCACAGCTTCAGATCTTTGCCTCTGCACCTTCCTGTGCCACAACCGTCTGCGTTGCACTCCAGGGCCGGACCGCTCCGTGAGCACTGATAACAGCAGCCCTACAGCCCTGCACCTCCCACCCTTCTTCCCGGAGAGCGGAAACCTTTCACATCCATACCACAAACAAAGCCATCAGCCCTAGTGCCACTTTGGGATCTTCCCTACAATGCTGCAGTGTCTCCAAGCCCTCCTGCAGTGTCAGTCACTGGGTGGCTCACAGCACTGCCTGCTTACACCCATGCACAGCTACAGAACTGCTGCACTCAGCCCCCCCACAGGTCACACGTGGACAATGTGCCTCTCCCTGCCACGGTGCTGGGAGTGCTGCAGATGTGGGGAAGGGCAGTGAAGTGTCCAATAATCACCATCCATAACAGCTAAGCACGCACTGGTCTAATATGATGAACGTACAGCAATACTTTCTTGCTTGCCATGAGACGCCCAGTGCACATCACAGACCCGAATGACGCTCGAGGTATCGGAATCAAACACTAAGGGAAAGTCCTTCCCAAACGTGGTGTCATTCAGGTGTAGATCAACTGCATATGGACTGAACCAGAGCTGCTGAATCCCGCTGCAGACCTACACCAGGATGCTTCCCGAGGGAGGAATGACAAAGAGCTGCTCGGGCACAGCAGATACAGCCAAGGGCTGCGGCTGCCCTGGGATGGGGCAGGACAGCAGCACGGCCATGGCGCAGGACAGACTGCACTGCACCTCGTGTTACAACTGGCATCTGCTCTGATCCTGCTCTTAGCCCCCTTCTTCAGCCACCTGAACTCCATCCTTAGTTTGTTTCCTGCAGAAGCTCACTGCTGGCTGCAGGACACGGAAACCTCAGATGACGGCCAGTACCAGCGCCTGAGCACAGCGCTTTGCAGAGGCCAACCACGGGTTCAGCCCCTAGAACTGTGCTGCACTGAGCTGTGCCTGCTGACGTGGGCAGCCTTCACACAGCCCCGCACAGCTCAGGCTCTGCTTCAGAGGCACAGACACCCACAGTGCCCGGCAGCACGCTGCCCGCTCCGTCACACAGTGCTCCCCTGCAGCAGATGAACACCTCCAAAGACCCTCACCTTGAGGGTGAGGCCTTCAAACGGTGCAAGTGCAGCAGATTTACAAGCGCGCGGATACGAGCTCCTATGGTAGAGAGCATCTGCACACCTTCTGCACGCCTACGTGCGCCCCCGGCCCTGCTGGTACAGCCCATAATTACCACTACCACTAACGTGCGCACAGCAGCACGCCGGCAGTCCTGCTGCACCGCAGGTGGGACACCACGGGCAGGTCCAGGGGTGACGGCTCCCTGAAGAGGCACCAATGAGTTGGGCAGGAGCACCCCGTGCCCCGGTGTCCCCGCGCCGCGGAGCAGAGGCTGCCTACCTTCAGCCGCCGTGCTGGGGCCGTCGGGCCGCGTCGTCCCCGTGCTCTTTTTCCTGCGGTGCTTCTTCCTGTTGGCATGCGGCGACGGGGGCGGCTCCAGCTTGGGGCTGGCGGCGGTGGAGATGTTGGGGCTGGAGCTGAGGGAATCGGCAGTGCCGTTGGCTACGGACAAAGAGAGAGAAGATGATGTACAGCGGGAGGCGCCCCAGGGTGCAGGGGACGGCGGCGGCGCTCTGCCTGGCCGCAGCTGCACGGCCCCGACCCACAGACGGAGCAGGAACTGCGCTGCTCAGTGCTGGGACGGTCCGGGGCCGGGGGGTCTCCGCGTGGGTCCCTATGCTGCATGGGTCTCCATGTGGGGGCCTGTGTGGGTCCTTACGTGGGGTCACTCTGGGCATGGGGACTCCCTTCGGGGGCTGCCGAGGGTCGCTGCCAGCACTTGGACGGATGGGACACGCACAGGCACCGTGCAGGGCAATGCCTGTGTTCGGAAGGGACGGAGCAGCACGCTGCCATGTGCAGCCCACAGCCCCGCACCTCCGCAGCACCGCGCCCTGCACGGCCTGCACACGAGGCGAGGGGTTGCCACGCTCAGGAACTGAGCGCAATGGTCTCCATAGGCTCCCGATATGGAGCTGAAGAAGCTGCATCCCCAGCAGCAACGCACCAAATTTATCCTCAATCATACTGTTCCTTACAATTAATAGCAGAATTAGAAACAATCAGGGAGCTGCCTAATTACTGTCAATTAGAGCGCGCTAATCAAGCTCCGATCACACACACACACGCTGCCGCTGCACTCACCATTAAATGTCAAATTTCATTAGAGACCAGCAACAAAATCAAAAGCCTGACATTCAATTTCAGCAGCACACACAGCGCAGGCTTCCAATCAGCATAAAAATGCAGACTCCGGGGAAGGCAACGAGGCGCAGGAGCCCTCGCTGCACGGTTAACCCTCTCCGAAATGTGCTCCTGCCTCTGTGTGCCCACAGCATCGCTCCAGCCCCGCTGCCCAGCACGGTGCTGCAGCCCTCGGGGCGTCCCGGCGAGCACCGAGCGCAGCCCCAGGGCTGCTGGCACGGGGGGTGAGAGGTCCTGGTGGCCCAGAGCAGCGCTCAGCAGCACGGAGCTGCTCACTGAGCTGCACGTGTGCATGGCCGGGAGGGGACGTGGTGGCACAGCTCTGCCGTGCCTGGCTCCTGCTGGATCTGACACACACGAGCGGGCGTTTCCCCTGCTATTAATCCACGGGGAAATAGCTCACCCTTGGCAATTGAGAGAGATAAATCTAATAAAATCAGATCCCACTTTATGGATATGAATTACCTCTGCTGTTTGGCAGGACGGTGCCTGCAGGAGGTGTGAGGTGCCTCCCACCCCCCAGCCCAGCACTGCAGGGATCTGAGCTTTCCCATGTGAGGGACAGTGGTGCACCCCCCTGTGCTGCCTGCCTGCTCCTGCACCCCCGTGCTGTGCCATACCTCGGGGCTGAGGGGTGCCTGCAGCTTGCACTGACCCCATGCCCCTGCTGCACAGCAGCCATCACCCAGCCCATGCTCTCTGCACTGCCCTGCAATCACTGGTACAGAACTGGAGCTGGGGGTTTGCAGGGTCCTGGTGGGATGGGGAGGGGACAGGAATGGGAATGCTCCCTCCAGAGAGAGGGAGAGTTTTTCCTATTACTCAGCATTGAGCTCTTCCAACCCAGCCGTGGGTCTCCAAACCCCCACCTCATCATGGAATCCCTCTACATACACAAGTGGGGATGCTCCTGGCTGCTTCCCCCAGACCAGCCGGGTGCCTGTGAGCCATGAAGGCCAAACACCAGCAGTGCTGGGGCAATGTCTGTGCCAGCTGTGCAGCCCTCCTGAGGAGCTCACCAAGGTGCACGTGAGAGGGGACAAGGGGGAACGGCTTTAAACTAAGAGGGGAGATGTAGGTCGGATGTTGGGAGGAAACTCTGCAGGGAGGCCCCAGCAGTGCCGCTCAGCAATGCTGGTGCCCCATTCCCAGAGGTGCCCAAGGCCACGGATGGGCCCTAGGCAGCCTGCAGGCGGGGGCACCCAGCCAGGGGCGTCCCTTCCACGTGTCCTGTGTGACTCCACGGCTCTACGATCTCCCGGAGCGGGTGCTCAGGCCTTTGGCTCTGAGCAGAGACCCTCTCCCCGCGGAGCAGCCCTGCGGGGCCGTGCCGTACAGGGCAGTGCCCAGAGCATCCCCAAAGCAGCACGGCTGCTCCGCGTCCGGGGCTCGGGCTGGGGGGGCCGTGGCACATTACTGCTCAGAGCTGCGCCCTTCCGCTGCCATCGCCGCGCTGCCCCATCAGCAGTAACAGTCTGATTAATTCGCTTCCAGCAGGGAGCTGATGGGGCCAATGATGGAGCCGCTGCATCAGGCGCGCTGAAATTGATAGTTTTTCACAGTTACAAATGAGGAGCCTCCTCAGCTGCAAATGGCGCCCGCACAGTCGGACTCCGGTAATGATCATAAAGAGGCTCTCTTTAAACTGCGAAAGCCCCTGGGACCGCGCGGGGGGGCGGCTGCCGCGCTAATGAGAACTACAAGGGGCGAGCAGGCATGGAAATGGCTCCTCCACTCTTGATGTGCATTTAACTGCTTTTTTAGTGCGGCGGCAGAGCCAGGAACGAAGGAGTGATGAATGCAGCACAAAAGCATTTATTTTCCAATTCGGCAAAGTGGCTACGTTGGGAAATGTATGAATTATTTTAATTCACTCAACTGTCCTGAAACGTCGTGGAGCGAGCGGGCGCGGGGGGAGCCGCCGTGCGCACACAGAGGTGGAATCGCCACTTTGGGTTCCTCTGCCCCAAAGCCCGCAGCGGGGCGGGCGCTAAGAGCAGCCTGCGCTGCCCCTGGTGCGCGCTGACCCTCGCTGGGGCCCATCCCACAGAACCTCCCGCAGCCCCGCGGGGCCGCAGTGCCACTCACCGGGGTTGGGGCAGGCGCCGGGCAGCGCCACGGCCTCGCTCCACTGATCGGCGCTGGAGACAGAGTAGGAGCGCTGGTGCATGCCGTCGGGCTTGGAGCTGAAGCCCACCAGGTTGATGCCGCTGACGGAGCGCTCCGAGTGCAGGGAGGTGCTGCTGCTGGAATGTGGGGCGCCTGCAAGAGAGCCGCCGGGTCAGCGCGAGCCGAGGGCCGCCTGGGGCAGAGCCGGAGCCCCGTGCCACGTGTGTGCAGGTGCCCGGCACCAGGGCTGCTCCGGCCCTCCTCTCCTGCAGGTCCTCACACGGCACCGGGCGGCTGGGGGTGCCGGCACGCAGCCCCCTTTCGGCCCGGTTCCGCGGTCTGCGATCTGCTCCAGGTCCCCACCACGACTACAAGCACCTGCACCAGCAGGCACCGCCAGCAGCCCCGGCGCCCGTCCTCATGCAGTTCCACCGCCTGTCTGCCCCAGCACAGAGCACAGGGCGAGCGGAAACGCCATGGAGGATGTCATGGGGACGCGCAGGGGGAAGGCCTCTGCCCCCGCTGGGACCCCCTGAGCTGCATCCCTGGGAGCTTGGAAGCCACGGAGGAAAGTTCTGGGGAACAGAAGCAGCCAAAGAAGATGAGATCACTTTGATGTGAAATGGGTCAAATGTTTCTGGATTATGGGAACAGCCCCAGCTCCCCACGCAAACACACGGAGCTGCTCCTGCTGCTGAGTGCCGCCAGCGGTGAGTCTGGGGGGGACGACTCTGCTGGGGGGGACCGACCACACCAGCACTGCACACACAGCCCCACACCTCCCCTGCTGCCACATGCTGTGAGGTCAGCTGCGTTCTGCTCTCCGGTGCCCCATGGCTGCATCCCCCCCAGTGCACCGCCAGGGTTTGTGCATGAAGTTACAGCTCTGTCCCCACCATTCCCCCAAAAAAATGCAAAATGTGATCCAAATGTCACCGATGTTTGAGTGCTGCCTGCGGCTGCGGAGTGCTGGGATCTCAGTTCCAGAAGCCCAGATTTCCATTACAGAGAGCAGTGGCTGTACCTGGCGGCCAGGGCATGAGTAGAATGGGAGCCAGCCTGAGTGTCTCCCCCCTTGCAGCCATGGGATCAGGTCCTGCAGCCCCGAGCACCAGCTGTGGGGCCAGGCCCTGGCAGAGCCATGGGGCCAGGTACTGCAGACCCACAGCCCCAGTGCTGTGCCACCGCTCAAAGCCCTCAGCCCCACTGCCGTGCGCTCCCCCTCCCTGCCTTGTTCAGCACCACAGAAACACGTGTAAAACCATGACACTGACTTTGCCTCTAATTAGCCCTTAATTTACAAGACACACTCGGAAGGGTAATTAGCTGGCGCTCCGCTCTTGACTGCCGCATCCATCTCCTCTCTGCTCCTGGTGGGAGGGAGCCCGCTGCCACCAGAGCAGGGACACCCCTGGGACTGAGAGGGGATGGGTGCTGGGAGGGGACGACATGGAGTGGGACAGAGTGGGACAGGACAAGATGGGACGGGGTGGGACAGGATGGGATGGGGTGAGGTGGGAGGGAAGGCAGTGGGATCCCCATCTCAGCCAGTGCAGGCTGACCTGTGCCATGCTGCGTAGGCAGCACGTGTGCAATGCACAGCAGGGAGCGGAGAAGGCAAACAGCACAGAACACTGCCTGGGGAAGTCCCACAGCAGAGGGCAGCATCCTGATGGCCGTGCAGTGCCCAGGTCTGCACAGCTGGAGCACCCCTCCCTGCAGGCACTGCCCCGCCAGCAGCGTGACCACACAGAGTACCCAAATCCTGGGTCCCCGTGGAGCTGCCTGAGCCCTGCACACACTCCTCTTGTCCTGGGGACGGGTAGGTTGGTCCAGCAGAGACCCCCTCCTCCCAGACGTGACACCACCAGAGCTACAGGACAGGATCGCTGTACATTAGGCAAAGCAGAAGGTAAACAGAAAGCCGCATGTAATGCACTGCCTGCCTCTCTGAGCACAGTCCCCAGCACTGACCTCTCCCTGCCCCCCCCACAGCCCATCAGCAGAGCTTTTCCCATTCCTGTTTGCTCAGAATTCAAAAAGTGAAGAATTTCACATCAACGCGTTGGTGTGACCTCAGCAGTGCTCACAGCCCACAGCACTGCAACACCACGCAGCAGATGGATTCGTGGTCACATTTCAGAGCGTTAACACTGCAGTCACCTCCGACAGCATCACTGTGGAAAGGACTGCTTCCCCCTGACAGTGCACTGATCCGACCAGCGCTGACGAAGCTGTGGCACATCAGTTCTGCCCTTACCAGCACGGCCGATGCCCACTTCTGAGCACCAAGGCAAAGCCGGATCACAGACCCGCAGTGAGGCTGAGGATGGGGCCCTCGGGGTCCCTCTGATCCCTCCAACCCAGCAAGGCCCCCCAGAGCACAGCAGGGTGGGAGCTCCCCAAGGAGGAGAGCCTGCAGCCTCCGTCCCCGCGCAGAGCTGTGTGCAGGCAGCTCCTGGGCTGCACTTTGTGCCAGTGCTGCGTGCCGCCCCAGCGCCGAGCAGAGCGCAGCTCTGTGCCCTCACGGCTCCTGCAGGGCTCTGTGGCCACGGTGGAGCCCCCTGAGCCTGCCTGGCTCCAGGAGGAGCAGCCCCAGCAATCAGGCTCTCCTCCCAGCAGAGCAGCCCCAGGGCTGCGGTGGCGGTGGGAGCTGTGCTGCTTATTTCCAGTCTGAACCACCCCTCCTCAGCCGCCACTGGACCTTGCTATACATCTATCTGATAAGACGCTCTCTGTTATCAGTTTTGCTCCTCTCTTGGTACTTGCAAACAGCGTTGGAAAAACCTCAGCCCCTTTCTTCTGCTACACCCACACCAACAGAGCTCCCCACACCGCTCCCAGCACAGCACGTTCTGCAATCACAGGACATCCCCTGAGCCCCCCAAGTCCTCCCAGCCCCAAACTGCAGTCACCAGACAGCTGAGAAAGGCTTCCAAAATTCCCGAATTAAATAATTCACACTCGCTGATTCCAACACGTCTAAATCTCCTACCTGCTGTTTAATTTGCTTCTAATTACAGCTGGAATATGAAGAATTCATCATTCTGTGCTAAGATACATCATCTCTCCTCTTCCCAGACACCAAACAGAAGTGTTTACTGAACACGTGGTTCCTTTCTTTATTAACCGCTCTATTATTTCCACGTAGTAATGAAGCAGCGCTGTGTTAGGATTCATTAGTTCCTAATAAACTCCAAAAGAACTTTTTGCTGTCTGTACCCTGCTGCAGCCCCTCGTGGTAACGGCGCCGTGTGCTCCTGCACCAGCGGAGCTGGGCGATGCTGGGCCGTGCAGGGAGGAAGAAGCACAGGTGGGGTTTATCCACTCCTTAAGTACAGTAGCACCAGAGAGGAGGAGAGAGGGCTTTCCCTGCAGGACGAGGGCAGCACGTGGCCGCCCCAGGCCAGGCTGCTCACAGGAGGCTGCATTCATACACACACACACAGGCTCTGGGCGGCCTGCGCCGCTGCTTGGCGATCCTGCCCACAGCAGGGGTTTGAAACCAGATGGTCTCTGAGGTCCTTTTCAACCCTATGACTCCATGACAGATGATACAGCTGCATGAACGGGGCCAGCAGCACACAGCCTGGTTCTCCTTGCTCTGCTCCTGTGCATCGGCTGTGATCCGGAAGGAGGGAGTGAGCAGTTCACGTCTCCTCTAACCCAGATTAATACCTTTAAGTAGCGCAGCCTCTCTTTTGATTTTGACTTTTTGCTATCCAGTCAAATGCTCCTTTCATCACTCCTAATTACGCTCCACACTTTCTCCTGTTTCTTTTTCCCCAAAGATCTGGCTCTAATTGCTTTCAGCCCTGTGAAATTGGCTCAGATATGTATTTTTGAGCACGTGTGCGTCTATGCTGTCTATGCGTGTTTGAAGCTCCCTATTTCTGCTCTCAGCTCTCCTCTGCCTGAGCAGCAGCACCACATCGGGGTTACCTGTGCCTGAGCTGCTGCTCTCCAGCTCTGAGGTCTCTGCTCAGAGGGAGCACAGCATCTCTGCAGTGCAGAGCTGTGCCTCAGTGCAGCGGGTTTGGGACGGCACCATTCCCACTGCGTGGCTCCTCCTGTGGGTATCACTGTCACAGCATCATTCGTTCTCCACCCCATCACAGCACAATGTTTAGGAACCATTTCTGAGACGCACAGCCAAAGTGCTGGAAAGCAGGAGCAGGGAGTGGGTGACGAAGAAATGATTTTCAACCTGCCTTCTGCTCTGCTAGTGTGACCATAGGTGACACTCAGTCCCTGTGGAAACCTGAAATCATGAGCTACAGAAAATATATGTATGAGCAACACTGCCTAAAATACAAAACCAAAAGATACCATGCAGCTGAAAGCCCAAAAGAGATCAGCACGGCCAGGATGGGGGCTGCCAAGCACGGCATTAAGGCTGCAGTGCTGTGCATCACTGTCTGCACTGACCGCCAGCAGCACAGCTGAGCTGGGGACGCTGCAGTGCACGGAGTGAGAGCAGCCCTGCAGAACACACAGCATCAGGCAGGCAGAGCCCCAGCAACAGCTCTGACCCACATGGGGGGCAGCAGAGGGAGCTCCCATCCCGTGAGCTGCACGGCCCCGACCTGCCCTGCAGCTGCTATGAGAAGGAGCAGTGCAGAAGGGCCCTCAGCCCCCTCTGGAAGATACCAGCTGCCCCACTTCCCAGCTTCCTTGGCAGCACGGGCAAATAATTCAGACCCACGTTTTCACAGGTGGCCGCTAATTACATCTCTTCATTTTTGCAGGTGCCCACAGCCAGATGCTCAGCACAGCAGCCTCAGCCGTGTGCTGCCCTGCGCCCATCTGCCTCCCCCAGCACTGCCCAGCACAGCCACAATCCGTCCTGTCCTCCTCACCCCCCCCAAAGCTGCCTTCCCTGCTCAGCCCTGCCATGCACTGCTCTGCTCCTTTAGTGTTCTAGCAAGCAGCAAGTGTATCAAGTCCCAGTAATTGTCTCTAATTAGGGTCAATGATCATACTGTCGGGCGGGAGCAAATCAATCTCTGCTCTCCCCTTGGAGAACAGCAGGTTGTGTGAGGCACATTGCAGTGCAGGCACTGCAGGCACAAAGCAGTGTGGGTGCTGCAGGGTGCAGTGCAGTGTGGGTGCTGCAGGGTGCAATGCAGTGTGGGTGCTGCAGGGTGCAGTGC